ATATATGTATATCACAAGTTTTCTTCAAGGGTTGTGAATGTGTTAAAGCTAACGATATTCGAGATTCATCTCTTTATGATGTAACCACACTACTACAGTCACGGCTTAACCATAGTAACATGTTGTAGCTCCATAATTATTAGGCATGTATGATGTAGTATACCAGGCAGATTTGACTACCTCTAAAGGTTTTTATCCTCACATTAATTATGATTGTCATGAAGCTCACGTGTGGAAGACACAAACATCATCACGGTATGAGAATAACAGCTTTTACTGTTCATTTATTATATATTATTAGATTTATAATACGTAGCAGAACATTTTCTATTCTTGCGCATATCTAGATTTACTTACGTGCATCCGGAGTTGCCTGCACAATGTTAGTGCCCACTTGAGTTTGAACAAGTGTGTTAACCTCTGTGACTAATTGCTGATCTAAACTAACTTGCTCAATAACAGTCTCTTGGTCGATAAACGTCACGGTTAGCTCCTCCGAAACAATGTTTGTATCTGTAACAGCTACATCCACCTCCACAACATTCTCCACGACAGCATTCTCGGTCTGCTGCTCAATGAATGTCACGGTTAACTCCTCCTGAACTATGTTCGTGTCTGTCTCCTGGTCGATGAATGTCACGGTTAATTCCTCCTGAACTATGTTTGTGTCCGTCTCAACTACATCCTCTACCACAACATTCTCCACAACCACATTATCTGTCTCTTGTTCAAAAAATGTCATGGTTAATTCCTCCTGAACTATGTTTGTGTCTGTCTCCTGCTCGATGAATGTCACGGTTAATTCCTCCTGAACTATATTTGTGTCCGTCTCAACTACATCCACCTCCACAACATTCTCCACAACCACATTCTCTGTCTCCTGCTCAATGAATGTCACAGTTAATTCCTCCTGAACTATGTTTGTGTCTGTCTCCTGCTCGATAAATGTCACAGTTAGTTCCTCCGAAACAATGTTAGTGTCTGTTACAGCTACATCCACCTCCACAACATTCTCCACAACCACATTCTCTGTCTCCTGCTCGATGAACGTCACAGTTAATTCCTGTTGAACTATGTTTGTGTCTGTCTCCTCCACCTCGACATTAACGGTATTCTCAACTGTGACATCCTCGGTCACAGTCGCCTTCTCGATAACAGTCTGGACGTCTTCCACGACCACTACCTGTTCAACAACAACCACCTCAGTCTCTAAAACATTGACGGTCTCCGTGACCAATTCAGTGCGGACGAGAGTGTTTTTCAGCAAGTCAAATTCCGTGACAGTGAGCTCGACCACGTTAGTTTTCGTAACCTCTTCGCTTACCACGTTTGTTACCGTAAGATCCTCCTCGATTACATTAGTGGCCGCTTCATTCACCACATTGGTCACCGTGAGATCCTCCGCTAGCACATTCGTAACAACATCTTCAACCGTTACAACGTCCGTTTCGAGATTCATTTCAGTCACTTCTTCTGTGAAAGTATCGAATTCTGTTCTATTGGCAACAAGAACCTCAGTTGCGATAACTGTATCAGTTAGAATTTCCTGGACCACCTGGGTGGCGACGACATTATTGGTCGAAACTTGCTGTGAGACGGCCGTGACAGTTTCAAAGTCTATTTCTTGCCTGCGCGCACGATCAGCGACAGGCGCTGCTCGTGTAGATGCTATCAACACCAAACATCCGGTCAATGTAAACTTCATTTTAGCTTGCTGTATGATGGTATGGGTGTATGCGACTATGATACTTGTGGCATCCAAGTTTATATAGATGATGAAAATGCTTGCGTTCACAAAGTGCCATCCGGTATCTGGCCTTATTTGCGCATTTTGATGCTGTCTCAATGCACACAACTATACCAGCAGATGTGGATCATGTGGTGAAATATATTTAACTCAAACTGTTTTAGGTGTTTATCTTCACTGTTGACAATTGACTGTCAATTCTAACAATCCCATTCGTCCTCCAATATATTATTCGGTGGGGAGCACATTTTAGGTCGTGTATTGAAAAAATCGTACTGTGATCGTCAGTGTTTGCTGCCTTTTTTAGTTTTTTTTTGTTCACTAGAGAGGCAGGCTATATGATTGGAGACTACTTCCCTGTGAAGATGCCCACTCTCTGGGTGGAAGACTGGAAGCCACCAGCCCTCCACATCAAGAAAAATGAGAAGAGGATAAAACGAGGACACCTGCACCTGCACGGCACAGTGCACACGCCTGCTGGCCGACAGTCCCACACACGCGTCACGCGGGGACTCTCGGGGATCTACTGAACAGTGAACACACTCTCACTCTCGCTAGAGTAGTCAGTAGTCTGTACTCTCTCTATATAGTAGTAGAGAGCGAGAAAGTAGAGAGTACAGAGAGAGAGAGAGAGACTACTGGTAGTACATACTAAATAGAGACTCTATGTACAGAGTAGACTACTAGTAGTAGGAGTAGATTTTGTGGAGAGAAAGTATGTATGGTAGAAAAATTTATAAATTGAAGTATGATACATGAGAATCTATCCTCTTTTTCATTTAAAACATGTTACTCTCTAGAGTAGAGATATGAGACGAAATATTTATATTTGTCTTCAAATCATGAAATCATCAAATGTGAAATGTCAACTACAAAAACTTTGTTGTTTTTCTATTAAAAAACCCATTGTGACTTGTCACTTCATGTAGAGTTGTATTTAAATAAAAAAATAGTTGCGATTTGCGAGAGAAAGACTGAAAGACAGACTGTAAAATATTGTAAAGAATTGTTAGAAACATTGGGCCATTGGCACCGCCAGGCGCCAAGTCGCCAACTTTATATATTTATATTGTAAAGCCTACGTAGTTCGGACACACGAAAGAAGGGAAAGGAAAGCAAGCTAAGTTTATTTAACTTAGGTTGGTTGCAAACTTCACACTAGTAAAGTGAAGTCTGCAACCAACGGACCAACAGTATTTATACGGTTCCTGGCGCAACTACATCGTTGTGGTTGGCGCTTAGATATTTGGCGCGCAAACCGCCCGGTGGTCTCATTAACGGTTTTACTTTCGTGTGATGTTTTATAGCCCGCGGGTTTTACAATATATATATATATATATATATATATATTGCGCACTTGCGAGTTGCGTACAATATTTTTTAATAATACCCCCCTCACTCTCCCCCCCTTTTGGTTTGTTTTTAAACCAGGAACCTGCTTCCTACATCCGTCTGGCCGTCTGGGGCGTCTGGTGGACTGGCGTCGAGCTTTTTATTTCTAAAAAGCATGTGGTGTTCACCACTTATGTGTGCACAGTGACAGTGTAAGTGTGTGTGTGGGACAAGTTGTCAGTGTCGGGGACTGTGCCGCAGTGCCGGTGTGCCTGCGTGCCAGTGGCCACTGTGGTATGTGCCTCCGAGGGTCTGGGAGACTGAGACTTTGTGTAGCAAATTAACAATACGGTGTAAAACTGTAAATACTATTAATAGCAGTGTTGCTTAGCATATTTCGTTTCTTAGTTCTGGATTGGTGAAATGAATTTCAAGGAATTTTAAAATTATGTAGCAAGTTGAGAATGTATGAGACTGAGTCACTGAGAGGAGTGAGGACTGAGGACTGAGGACTGATGAGTTGTCAGTTGTTATTCTCTTCTAATTGTTTTTTTTAAATTTTTAATTCGGGAGTGAGAGTGAGAGACACACACAGTGTCTAAATACACTCTAAGTCTCTACGTGCAGTCTACTCACTCTACAGTCTACACTCTACAGTCTACAGTCTACACCTAAGATAAAAACGTTATCCGATATAACGTTTATAAATAATTAAATGGTCGATTTACGTTCAACTTTTATATCCCATTCAGTCCATCCCATTTAGGACTGGGTGCATTCACGAGGTCATGACATGATCCTATTATGTCAGTAAATTATGGCGCAGGTACTATCAGCTTGATGAACTACATAGTCTGCTTCTTTGGAAATAGGTGCATATTGCACACAAGAGCAGTTGTCAAAATTTCATTAACAGTGTTCGACGTTTGACCCCCATAAACGTTATATCGTTTAATTATTATAGAAATTTTTATATGGACCTATCGTAACGTATTAGCTTAGGACCTTAGGTCTTCAGTTTACACTACACTACAGTCTACAGTCTACAGTCTACAGTACACTATTTATTTGAACTTCAGTCTATTTTTTTAGATTGTTACACATTACATTATGATGTCGTATGCATAGTACGTAGACTCGTAGACTCGTAGACTCGTAGTGTCTGTAGTAGAGACATAGACTCGCGAGAGCTCGCGCAATACATACGTACACATGTGATGTGATGACTTTGTTCTGAAATCTGAACCTAAGTCTGTACTTCTGAATTTCTGATGTTCAAGAGTTCGCAGTTTCAGGAATCAGGACCAGGGCTTCAGGCTTTCAGCCGTCGGCGTCACGGTCAGGGCCAAGGGCCCAAGGCCCCAAGAACCGTCCCACCACCAGAGAAGGGGCAGGCCAGCAGGCTGGAGGGTCTTTGTAACACAAGAAATAAGTGTTGGACAACGGACTGTTCACTGTTTACGTCTGTCGGAGACGCGGAGCGACTTCTTGTGAGTTGAGAACGAGATTCATTTTTATTTTAAAACAAAATAGAGTACAGAATAACTTGAGCGCCGAAGACTCGAAGAGTCTGTATTATCTGAGGCCTCGTCTGTAATTCTGTCTAATTTAGAAGGCTATGGTAATTCTGTATATATCATATGAAATATATATTTTGTACCCACATGTTTCAAGTGCACGGACAGGATTGGAGAAAATTGTTTATCATGAGTGTTTCAAGAGAATGAGGGACACCAAGCAAGCCAAGAAGGTTCGTGATCGATTCCTATTGATGAAGCATTTATATATATATCATATATACATACATAGTTCCTTATGTCTAATTTGTTTTTAAAAAATAGAAGGCAATGGGAACTTGGGCCTTGTTGCTCCGGGACCGGGGCATATTTATATATATTTTTAAATACTACTATCTACATATAAAATATAAAATCACATACGGACACGGGACAAGGAACTATAAAAATATGTAAATATTTACACACAAGAAGAAGGAAATAGGATGTGTATAATACATTGATATTTTTTGTTTTGTTTTTTTAAAAATAAACAACATACAAAATAGTGACTGCTTCAACTGACAACTGACAACTGACGACTCTCACAAGAAGTCTCAACTCTCAAGACCTCTTAATAATTCATTAAAGTCCCTTATTTAAAAAAAAAGCAAAAACAAAAGGTGAAAATTCCTATATTTACATAAATAGAAACTTCACAGCGGATAAAAATATCATATGTACTATGTGCTGTATTTGTTGATGTTGTACACCCGATGTATGTTATAAAGAGAACAAAAATAAGTTTCAACTGAACACTGCATAATACTATTAAAATAGAAGCTGAAACGTCCAAGTTTACAATCGACTAATTCAGTCCTGGCCGGCCATACTGGTCGGTCAGACCAGGTTTCTATCAGCTCAGCCCTACACTACTGGAGTAAATAGTAGCGAGGGCAAGGCCCTAATCGTTGTTAAGTGTACTAAAATATATAGCTATATACACTGTATTTTTTACATATATATCGGGAATTCGGACCTTTTCAAGAGAAAGAATGGAGTTTTCTGTTTTTGCTGTTCTATCAAACATGAGACAAGCGTCAACACTTAACACCACAGAGAGAAGGTAAATGTAAATCATGTATATTGGAGAAGGCTATTTATGTAAATATACGCAACTATATAAATATGCGCATTTATTATTTTGGCATATTGCATACTGTTATGGTTTTTTTTTACACACTAAAAGACAAAATAAAAACGAATTTTAAAATTACTAGTCCGATATGTATTTATATCCTCAACGTTTGAAGCGAACATCGCGTGATGTACGATATTCTAGAAATTGACAATGCAAGGCTGCTCTACTCGCCGTCTCTAGTAGAGGAGAGAGAGAGATGTCCCAGCTTGCAACGTATTTGCGGACTATTCAATCAATAGAGGTTGTGATATATTCAGTCACTGATCATCGCATATTCAAGGGCAAAGTGATTATTCCAGCTACACTTTATAGGAAAGCAGAGCCTTTACTTCGAGACTGCACATACATTCACCTCTGAGGCCTTAGCGCTACTTCCGGTCCATTGCTACGGGGTTTCAGGACCCTAGACCAAAACTCACCCAGAGCGTAATCATGTATGTATCACCCTTGTTCTGGTCTGTGTCATCCTTGTTCTGGTGATACGGAAAACGATGGTGCTCGTGTGTGACTGCCCACTCTGGCTCGATCCTAATATTACAAATATTCATATTCGGTATGAAGACTCTATACCAACCGGACAAGGTTCAATTTTCATACGCAGTGTAGGTGTTACTGCAGATAGCTACTACATATCCCTGATATATTGACCTGCTTAGAAGAAAAATACAATGTATCCGGATCAGAGCTTGGCATCCATGATCACACCATCGTCGCGTGCTTCGTGCTGGTGTTCATATTGCGCGTCTACAGCCTTCTCTTTGACTTCCTCCTCTGTGGTCTTTGGTACCGGCGACAACATCTTCGCTCTGGAAACGTCTTGCAACCCGGCGGTGTTGGGCTGTGGTGTGATTGACTTACTCGTCGATTTGCTGAGATCGTCTCTGGATTTACGTCTGCAATAAGAGTGTGCACGTGGTGTGCACGTGGTGTGAGTGGTGGCAGGTGGAGACTATGGATTATACGCGTGTCCGTCGACGCACGTTCGTGTAGGCAACTGTGAAACACACATACATATTTATAAAGCCCAGTCTATCCGCATTGTCAGATGGATAACAAAGCCGAGGTCTGATCGCATTCGCACACAAGACCAGATACCTATGTCACCAATGAGACAATAGGACTGAGTAGTTATCAGCCGGACATTACATCTATACGTAGGACATGGCATAGCTCTAGCTGAGCATAACATACTTTATCTACACATAAAACCACCAGCACGTGTACTGTACATGCTGCCAAGAACATCCGCAACCGCCATGAACACAACCTACGACGACATACAGATGATATACAATCAATTTCCTCTAACATAACAACTCAGCTTGTGCAAGCAAGCATCCCCGAGAATATGCTGTGATATACACAACAGAACACGTACAGGTCTCTCTTAGCCTGCTTCTGCTTTTCACGCATGGCTCTGAGCTCCTCCTTCTCATCGGCCTGCCGTTGCTTCGCCGCCTTTTTTTCTTCCTTCTCCAGTTGTTTCGCCTCTCTCTGCTGGTTTTGCTCTTCCACGATGTCTTCCTCGCCATAGGCGGAGAGTGCTTGTACCTAAGCGAAATCACAAGAGGTGAGTTCGTTTCATGAGCGAGTATGTGAGTATATATACACGTGCTATCGATGATTATAGGCAAAACTCACAGCGCAATTGCCCGTAAACTTGAATGTCTGGAAACACACTAGTACATCCAGCAACGAGAAAATTGAACAGCAAACGATTGGATAATAAATTGAATAACGTATAAGCAGTGTGAGTGAGGTTGTATTGCTAGTTGTATATTGAAGCGGCATTGTGTGTGTGTGAGTGAGGTTGTATTGCTAGGTTTATATTGAAGCGGCATTGAGTGGATCCGACATCAGGCGCATAGCCACACGGACGCAACTCTGTAAGCGCACAAGCATGCACTTGTTGTTGGAGTCTTAATTTAAGGTTGGAGGGCACAGTACACATTCGCTACATGCCGCACACACAGACCGCGCGAATCAGATACAAGGTCATGATGCGGGCAAGCATTTTCAAACATAAAAAAATTAAAACGGAGCAGTACAGAACTTAAAATGATTGTGATCTATATAGTCCACAGTACTAACCCAGGCAGGCTGGCTGGCGCATGGTACTGACCGGCGGCAACAGATGCGAATGGAATAAGCATCTTTCTCTAAATACACAAACACCTCACCTATACGATCACGCACATCCATCAAGAGCGTTCACGTACACGCTCTCGAGCATACCTCTTTTGTCACACCCAGGCCAACCATACTCAGCAGGGACTTGTGTGAGCTCGTGATTAAGCTCCCGGACTTATGTCGGCGGGGGGTCACCTCCATATTATCAACGTTGTCGCCAAGCGTGAACGGTAGCTGTATCTCTATCTTCTTGCCCATCCCGTGGCCTCGGCTGACCTGTTTAGTACCGAACATACAGCACATCCCATCACTGGCGATTGAGTACGTGGGTCTGACTGTACCACACAGAGACTGGACTGCACTATTGTGCCAGCTACATCGGTGCTTAGATATGTGAAGGGGCCAAACACATCAAATACGCGTGCCTTTGGTAGGCGTAATGTGGTCCAATCAACCCGCCCGAGTATTTGTGCTTATAGTCTCGTGTTCCATCCTATACTATTCTATTTACTGTCCACACGTTTCGTGGCTCGAGTACATTGAATTCACACACAGTCACGGCCCTCCTGGCATTGAGGTTCTTTAGGCTTTTTTTAGGTTTCAGGGTTTCAGGGTTTAGCATTGTGTGTCTTTGGTCCATACACAGGGGAGTACGGCCACTTGCCTATACAAACTAGGTACACGCAGACGATCATATATCAACAACACGTGTCCTTTTTTAAACTTAAATAACACCCAAATCAAAGGCATCCAGAATAGAGAGGTACTGTGCGTGCTCATAACTGGCCAATACTCCGGCACACACACACACTCTCTCTCTCTCTCTGCAATATCTATACCACCACTCACCACGACACATACACATAAGATAAACCTATCCGTACCGTGACAAGCACCGAGTAGCTGACATGGAAGGACACCTTCAGACTCTCAGGCCTCTCGGGTCGGGGGTCTGTGAAGAACACCGTCGGTGCCAGGCTACGCTTGCAATCGTGCGCAGGTGATGGGTCTCCTGAACCCGTTTCAACGGTAAACGAAGCCGACTTCTCCAACGCGGAATCGTTCTTGCTCACATCCCTGGGTGAGTTGAGTGTGCGGTATAGAGCTGAGGGCAGATGGACGAGTGTGATGTGTATAGGCATGTGCACACGGTTGGTTGGTGGATACGTGTGTGGTGGGTATGCCATACATGTATAGTAGTACAGGTGCTGCACTGCGCATGTCCTGTAGTCCTCGTCCTGTGGTCCTAGGACAAGTTGTCAGGTGCATCGTCTTCAAAGACCCATCAAGACCTGCAGCGGTTTCGTTATAACCGTGTGCACATGTATGTATTGCATTCCTGCTAGCATATACACGTACACATACACATGCCCACACGTATATGGCACATGCACAGCTGCTACGCACACACCCTTGAACCCTCAAACACTAAAATCCACACCAAAACAAACCAAGCGCAGTACAAACCACCAGCTTACCTTATACACACATCATTATTGTTGTCTGGGACTGTAGGGGCCACACGCACTTCGACCTCTCCATCACTGTTGGGCCCAGGAAGACCCTCTTTAACCTTTGCTTTGGCCAGCATCTGTTCTTTAGTCACAGGCACCTTGTGCGGCGCTTTCAGCACCACTTTCTGGAATAGCTTGGCCGATATCGACTTGATCTACACACGGCCAAACCGTTAGCTAGTCAGTGACGATATGACAGAGTACCATTGTGGTTTGTTTGCTTTGACAGCCAGGTTGACAAGCCTCTACAATAACGTTCACGCGTACACGTTGGTGCACTCCAATGTATCTGGATGAGTGTGCGCGCTAGAGAACTGCAGATGGCGCTAAAGCGTGTGTGTGATAAGTACGCCAACACACGCACACGATACAGTACACGGGTGCCTAAGGAATACTAAATAACTTTAGAGACAGTTCGGTATATATTCTTCGCTAGACATTTCCAAGCCAAGATGAGTGAGAAATAGATACGCAGATACATACATCCGTTGTGTTGCATGTTATGTACGATTGAAGGTACATGTCATGTGTCCAGTACCACAACATGCGCCAGAGATATAAACAAAGACATACCTTGTCGCCGGTCTCGTTGTTGACGTCTACTATAACTACCACATCCTCATCTTCATAGTAGACGTTCTTGGTCAACCGAACGTCTACGTTCAAACGTCTCTTCCCCGACACGAGTGTACGCCTCCACGCATTCGCCTGTTCAGAGCACGGACAGATATATGAAGTATGGATACAAGTACAAAGATTCAGACTACGCGTGCAATACATGGTCAATCGTAACAACCGTAGCTCATGCTATGCCTCACATGTGTTCTTATGACTTATCAATACATACTTATATAAGTATAGCATCTAT